CTGGCTTATCAGGCTGCACGCTGTCTTCCCCAGGGACCAACCCCTCAGCCAGCAGGACTGGTGGAGTGAGGGCAGGGGGACCCAGACGGGGCTGGAGTTTGTAAGAGCACAGAGGCCGGGACAGTGGGTAGGGGCACCTCACACAGGAAGGCCTGGTGGGGGTGGCCCTGTGGTGTGTGCAGGACACAAAGTCACCTCCAAGCCCGTGGCCTGGTCTCCTGTTCACCTCAGCCCAACAGCCAGGACCCCAGGCAGCCGCCTCCCCTCAGAGTGACACAGCCTCCCATCTGTGCCCTGCCCGCCCCTTCCAGGTGCCTGCTTCCAGAACACCTCTCTTCCTCCAGTCTCAGGTCACAGACCCCCCTTCTCCTGGGCCCAGCTCCAACATCACCTCCTACGGGCATCCTCCTCCCAGAGTGACGCCTAGCCCCCCATCTCTGCCCACCAAGGCCTGGAACGCACCCTGTGGTGCTCCTTCTTGTCTTCGCCCCTCCCATGAAGTGTGGCACGCTGCAGCTGTGTGGTGTTTGTGGCGTGAATGAAGGAGCAGAGGCATTGCAGGGGGGTTAGGAGTACAAGAAGGACTCTGGCTGGACAAGGAGGAGGTGTCCCAGCTCCTGCCCTCCTCGTGTGGTAGTGAGCTCCCCGTCCCCGCAGGCGCCAGCCCAGGTGTGCCATCTGGTTTATCTGCTCACGCCTGAGCACCCACCCTCGGCCAACCCTCTGCTAGGCGCTGGGGCTGCAGAGGAGGTTCAGGCTGTCCGCACCCCCAGAGCAGGGACAGGAAAACCACGGCTACTGGTCCAGGGCAGGAGGGAGACAGCAGTCAGCACAGGCAGGCCTGGCCTGGGAGCTAGGGGTTGGGCATGCAACCTGGGGGCCCTAGGAGGATTTCCCAGAGGAGGGGGCTTTGGCACAGGGTTTGGACAAGGAGAGCACGTGGAGTGGGGGGGTTGTAGGCAGAAACACCAAGGTAATCCTCTCATGGCCGGGACTCAGCTCACGGCGTCCGCGTTCAAAGAAGCAGAATCCAGGCGGAGCAAAGAGTATGGGCTTTGCCTCAGACTCATTGGGCTTCAAATCCCCCTTCTGCCTGTTTTATAGCCTTGGAAACATCTCTTCCCCTCTCTGGGCCTCAGTTTCCTCATCTGAGAAATGGGGATGATGAGAATAATGCCTCAGAGTGGAGCTGTTGCGCAGATTCATTAAGATAGTGCCTGAGTGCCTTAGCCCGGGCCTGGCTGGCAGTGAGTGCCTGCCGTGTATGACAGTGAGGCTGCCAGTTCCACCCAGCCAAGCTTGACGGCCTTCTCTGGGGGTGGGGACGGGGGAGATTCCCATTCAGGGGCAGCCGTACAAGCCCACAGGTGTATGGGACAGTCAGCTCCAGGGGGAGAGAAGGCAGAGGATGCAATCCAGGAGGGCTTCCTGGAGGACACATCCACAGTCCCTGTTGCTCACAGAGCACTTCCTGTGGACAAGGCCTGGGCTTCCTCCCCCAGGCTGCAAGCAGGGCAGGACAGGGGCAGCGCTCAGATTATCTGACTCCCAGTGTAGGCCGTTTCCTTGCCAGGCGGGCATCTCTCATAACGGAGCTGAGTGTCCTGGGCACGCCCCTGCGGGGAGGCCAGGAGCCAAGCGTTTCCCGTAGGCCTCCAGGCGAGCCCAGCCTGTGCCGGGCCTGTAGGCAGGCAGCCCACGGACCCAAATGCTCTGATTGGTCCCCCTTCAGACCTCCCTGTGGGTCCTGTTTGCCGGCTGGGGTCATGGGGTGACAGAGGGTCTGAGGTAGGAGACTCAGGCCCTTAATCCAGCCCCAGAGCAGTTGGAAAAGCGACAGGCTACCAAAGGGACAGCTGCTGCTTCCCACCCAACCCGGGAGGGCCTGGGCCATGTGAGTGGAGAGAGGGTGCAGGCGGGCAGCCCCCCTCCTGCTTGCTTAATCTTGGAGCTCTATCATTCGGGAGTGGGGAGAAGACATGTTTACAGGGCCTGCATTTGTTTTGAGTTATTCATCAACATTGGCAAGTCATCTTTGCCTGCGGGTATAAACAGCACTGTCCCAGGGCCCAGCACTCTGCCAGACCATCGAGGGTTTGGTGATGGCTGACGTCAGCTGCTCTGCGATGTCTGGCTCCCAGCAAGGTGAGGAGGTGGGTCTGGCCAGATGGCTGCAGGTGCGTGGTACCGGGGAGCTCATCCACGGCGGGCCACAGGGGCATCTCCGCACCAGGAATTCAGTATTTGAGGATCTGTGCCTGCTTTTTTCTTTTTTTTTTTTAACCTTCACTAGGGCTTGGGAGGAGTCCCTGGGTGGTATGAAAGGTTAACACGCTCAGCTGCTAACCGAAAGGTTGGCGGTTCGAGTGCGCTCAGAGGTACCTCAGAAGAAAGACCTGGTGATCTGCTTCTGAAAAATCAGCCTTTGAAAACCCTATGGAGCACAGTTCTACTCTGACACACGTGGGGTCTCCATCAGCTGGGATAGACTCCTCGGGGAAAAAGGCTAAGACTGGGACTCAAGAGGGGTCGGGAGTCAGTCCCGGGAACAGCTTCCCGTGTTCAGATCTCATCATGTGTGTGCCAGGGCGTGGGCATGGGCCTTGACAGGTCTCCAGGGGCCAGAGATGTGAGCAGCCCCAGGTATGCTGGCTCATTCTTTATATTACTTGTGGCAAGCTGGCTTTGGCTTGGCATTCGCACCTGGGTCCCCAAGCGTCTGCTCAAGCTGACACCCAGACTCAAGCTCATGTTAGGGGTCGCTGGCTCTCCCTAACACCAGTCTGGACGTGTTCACTGGCAGCTTAGCAAGGGGGCAAAAGGCAGGCTCTGGAGCGAAACAGCAAGTGTGAGCCCTGCCTTTGCTCTGGCCCACTGTGGGACTTTGCCTCTCTGTGCCTCAGCGTCCTCATCTTTAAAGTGACATTGGTAACACAGCCTATCACACAGGGTTGCTATGAGGATTGAGTTGACACTCATGCAGCGCCGCTCCTGGCACATAAACACACAAGCAGCGTTAGCTTTGGGTGGTCCTTAGCAGGTCGCATAAGACACGTGCGTGGCCGAGAGCTGCTCACAGTCCACGGACCCCACAGATGGGCCGTGCCAATGAAGTGTCCACTGCAGAGGTGTGGACAGGAGGCTGCCCCCATGAAGGTGACATTGCACTGGGCCTTTAAGAAGCCCCCAGGAATGCTTTGCAGAGTGAGGAAAAGCATGGAGGATAGTCTCCCTCTCCTTCGCCTGGCCTCCCCCGCTCCCTCGGGCTCGTGGTGCAATGATACGGCTCCTGTCAGCAAGAGCCACCTTTACATCTTCAGCTGTCACCGTTGGGGGCTTCTGGAGTTCAGAGCTCTGCCCTCCTTCCCTGGCTGCCCCCCAGCTGTCATTCGAGCTCACCAAATAAGAACAGCCACCTCGCTGTCGGCCTCAGAGGCAGCCAGGCGGTGTCTTGGGCGGTAAAGTCATCGATTGTCCGTGGACCCAACCTGACTAGCTCCAGAGCCAAGGCCTCCTCAGGTTCGGTGCAGATCACTTGGCCTGACTCTTCACCTTTTAACATCCTTTTGGTCCCAGTCGTAAAATAGGTCTTTGTTAAAGAGAACTGTATAAAAGGCTTATGCCAGAATGGGGTGTGTGTGTGTGTGTGTGTGTGTGTGTGTGTGTGTGTGTTTCTGCTCACGTTGCTTTTGCGGTTTTATATAGTTGCCAATGTAGACATGGAACATGAAGGTTTAAGAAGCCCTTCTTTCATCCTAAACAGCCTGACAGAGTACCGGGTTATGACTTTGGTAATTGAAACATGCTGTTCTGTCGAAGGCCAGAACTCCATAAAGCCTTCATTCAGCCAGGTGCACTGTTTATGCCGGCAGACTCTGGTCAAAATGAGTGTCCCCCTGAGTTCTGGCTCCAGAGAGTGGGGAAGGCTGCCTGACAGCCCGTGGCAACCAGAGGCCAGGGTCTTCCCAAACTGTCCCCCTGAGTTCTGGCTCCAGAGAGTGGGGAAGGCTGCCTGACAGCCCGTGGCAACCAGAGGCCAGGCTCTTCCCAAACTGTCCTCCTGAGTTCTGACTCCAGAGAGTGGGGAAGGCTGCCTGACAGCCCGTGGCAACCAGAGGCCAGGCTCTTCCCAAACTGTCCTCCTGAGTTCTGGCTCCAGAGAGTGGGGAAGGCTGCCTGACAGCCTGCAGCAGCCAGAGGCCAGGGTCTTCCCAAACCTTCCCAGTCTTGGGCTTTTGGAATCCACTTGTGGGCAGAGCCTTCTGGCCTCTCCTCAGCTCCAAGGTCTGGTGCTGCTGGGTGTAAGCCTGTGGTGTGACTGAAGAAAGATGGGGCAGTAGGATTGGGTTGGCGGGGCAAGTGTCAGGGGTAGATGGGGCAGGTTTCCCTGTCTTCATGGAGAGGGGCGCAGGTAGGAGCCCAGGTTTGGGGGTCAGACCCTTGGGTTCAAGTCCTGCCTCTGCCACTTGGAAAAATGACTTGGCCTCACTGTACCTCAGTTTCCTCATCTATAAAATGGGTTAACACCTGGATCTAACTTACAGGGTTGCTGTGAGGGTTGAAGGAGTTGATTCAGGTAAGATGCTTAGAACGGTGTTTGACACACAGGAAACACTCAGGGTTAGCTAGCATTACTGCCAATGTGACTACTGGGGAGTACCCTGGAGAGTACCTCTGGGGAGTACCTCTCAGAAATACCTCCAGGGAGTACCACCAGGAGCACCTCTGGGGAGTAGCACCAGGAGCAACTCCAGAGAGTACTACCAGAAGTACCTGCAGGGAGTACCTCTGGGGAGTACCACCAGGAGTACCTGTGAGGAGTACCTCGGTGGAGTGCCCCTGGGAGTACCTCTGGAGAGTACCACCAGGAGTACCCCTGGGAGTCCCTCAGGGAGTCCCTGCAGGGAGTACTTTCAGTGCAGTCTGGGGGGTGATTGCATCCGGCCCCCATCAGCTGCTCCACCGGTGACTCTCTCCTCCCTCCCTCCTTGTCCCCACAGATGTGGACGAGTGTCAGGACAACAACGGGGGCTGCCAGCAGATCTGCGTCAATGCCATGGGCAGCTACGAGTGTCAGTGCCACAGCGGCTTTTTCCTCAGTGACAACCAGCACACCTGCATCCACCGCTCCAATGGTGAGTGCAGCCTGGGCTTGACCAGGCACGCCTCTCCCCGGAAACAGGCAGCCCCCCGAAATCTCCGTCTCCATGACTTGACTGGGGGGCTCTCAGGGCCAAGGCTGGGGACTTTGGTGGTGGCCTGCACGGCTGCTTTGTGCTCTGGTGTTGATTCTGTGTGGAAATCCTCACAGCTCCCTCCCTCCCCTGCAACAGGAGGGATGTTGGTGTTATCACATGAAGACGAGGTGGGGCCCCACGTGGGAGATGTGCCGAGAAAAGTTCTTTTCCTTCCTGGGTAGGGGCTGGCTGTGCCCAGGGAGAAGGGGGCTCTCTTCTTCATCGTCCTCTTCCCCAGTGGGGGCTCAAGGCTTCATCAGGTTGGGTGCCGAGTGCTCAGTCTACAAGCCTGGCTGTACCGAGAACCATCTACCAGTGGTCCTTGTGGTTGGGAGCCTGCTGCCTTCTGGAGGCTGGGCAAGTGGCAAGCCAGCCGGGGGGTGCAGAGGGCCCAGGAGGTTCACAGCCAGAGGGGTGCCTGGGTGCCTGGGTAGACAGTACCGACCCTGGCCAGGCCTCCATGTTAGGGCAGTGGAGGTGAGAATCCTAGATCTGGGCCCAGGGCAGCAGAGCTCCGAGGTTGGGGCAGAAGCTAGGATACATGGACACGTGTGCTTGGAGGAGAGGGGCTTCCAGGCAGAGGGAACAGCATTCCCAAAGGCATAGAGGCGCGTCTTGCTAAAGATAATGGTGAAGTCAGGAGGCTCCAGGCAGGTCTCTGCCTGCAGCAGCGTGACTATGAAGGCAGAGGCAGGAGCTGGCGGTCCTGGGCCATGGCCGTTCTGGGCAGTCAAGGGAGTGGATGCAAGGAAGTAGAACAGGGTGGCCCCACAAGGCCAGAGTCCCACCACCCCATCGCTGACCCTGACAGAGAGGACGTGCTGGAGGTTGGGGGCAGGGGGAGGCCTCTGGTCTGTGGCACCAGCAGAAGGTGGGTCCATTGGCTCAGCTGAAAGGCGAGACAAGAAGGGCTCTGGATCAGCCACCTGGTGTGGACCCAGCTCTGCCTGCTGCTCCCCGCTGGGGGCCAGGGCCAGCTCCACGGGCTGCTCTGAGCCTCTGCCTCCTCATCCGCTAAATGGGGACAGAGTGGTGACTGGCAGCACTTTGGAGGGCGGAACGAGATCATGTGTATCAGGTGCCTGGTTACAGTGACACCAAACGCAGCTGGGAGGTGAGACTATGGGGCCCTGGGCAGGTTCATTTGAAAGCAGTTTCTGAGAAAGAAAAGAGGAAAACGTTCAGAAAGCGCAAAACCCAGGGTAGTAAAGCCCCAATGCTTTCTGGGACTCCTTAGGTCTTCCCCCACTTCGTATTGGTTAGGCAGTTCCCTCCAGGGCAGGACCGGCCTGAGAAGCCCCACGTCCCAGCTCTGCTGAGCCCAGGAGTGACAAGAAGGCCGAGCCCCCGGCTCCTGGGTGCTGTTGTCCAGACTTGCCAGCTACGTCCCACCCAGGGGGCTCTGGGGCACATACTCTGTAAAACCCCCCAGCCGTGGCACAGTGCGGCCGAGCCACCCGAGACAGAGGCAGACGACGTTAATGAGGACATGAGCCCACATCTGGTTTGATAGGAAGGTGATTTATGGGGCAGAGCTGGAGTGAGCGTTTGCAGTGGGAGGGGTCCCGCTTCCATCGAGGAGGGGGTCTTAAACGGCAGCTGCTCGAGGGAAGCTGTGATGTTCCCAGGCTGGGGCTGCCTGGCCCTCTTTGAAGTCTGTCGTGTGTGCACTGTGCCTTGGAGGGTGAAGCCGTGTGGCCCCAACTGAAAGGGGGGCACTCAGGAGGAGAAGTCGGCCGGATGTGGGACAACAGCCGAGTCCTATTTCTAAAATGGTGTTGGTTTGACCTGTAAGGATTTGCTGTACCACAGACGTCGCGCCTCGGCGTCCGCCCGAGTACTGGGGTGTCAGGGAGATGATGACGTGGAGGGTGACAGCAGTGGCTGCTGTTGCATGTCATTTACCCACCCTGAGCCAGACGCAGTCCTGATGGGATTGACTCGTTTCCTCCTGACAGCAGGACCCGTGACAGGCAGGTGGTCGTAGTATCCCACTGATGGGGAGGAAACTGAAGGCCAGTCAGGTGAGCCCAGGGCAGGAGCCCGGTCCCCCTGGGCCTGGCGGCCTGCAGCGAGGAGTTAGGATTTCATGCAAAGGGCGGCCGTGGGGAGGCACATTAAGCAGAGGAGGAGAAATAAGGCTGGAGAGGCGAGTGGAAGATTTCTGGGAGAACTCAGATACTTTCAGGGACTGGCCATCAACTGACGGGCGCAGTGGACAGTGGGGCTGGGTGGGGGGGACTGTGAGGGGACGTAAGCACAAACACCCATCCCCAGAAGCCCCAGGTGGCCAGACCCTTGGATTTTTAGCTGGAGGCAGGAATCCACATTTAACCAGAATATGGATGGAGGGGCCTCGACCCAACACTCCATTAGCCAGCACATCAGTTAAAGAGGTCCCTTCTCGCTGTAGGATTTTCCTGTGGAATCTCCTATCTGGCCGTGAAATCAATTTAAACAACAGATACTTTCTTGGATACCTGCCGAAGGACAAGTAGCATTTCCTGAGTCCCCGGAGGCTGTGTGGGAGGCCTGAGGGACAGGCCACGTGCACAGGACACCAGCATCAGGGCTTCTCTTCAGAAATGCTCGTAAAGCTCGTGGGTGGAGCGGGGGGCCTGGGTCCAGGTCAGCTGGGTGACTTCGGGCAAGCTGCGCACCTCTGAGCTTTGCTGTCATGACCATTGCCTGCCATCAGCGTCAGCAATGGTAAAGACTGTTATGGCTCAAAGTCAGTGTGTCATGGGGGCAGGGGGTGGCTGAGAGGGGAGGGAGGCCCGGGGCTCCAGATGGAGCTTGTTTCGTGCCTAAGTGGCCTGATACCCGGGGCTCCCTGGAGGGCTGATGGATCCAGAGCCATTTGGCAAATTAGATTCCTGTGTCACCTGACTCCCTAATGCCTGTCCAGCTCTTTGGAGCCTCGCTGTGCACTGGTTTTGATTAGGTGGGGCCGGATGCACGAGAAGGGTCAGCCAGGTCAGTCCAGGCTGCTGGCAGAGAAGCAGGCCATGGGCCCAGCCCTCCCGAGTGGGCCGCTTCCTACGCACAGTGCACACCAGGCTGAGGCCTATGGGTGCGGCTGGGATGGGGTTGGGAGTCTGGGTTCTCAGCTCCTCTCTGCCCTGCCACTGGCTATGTGGCCTTCTGCACTGTCCCTCCAGCCTCCTTGGGTCTCCTCGTCTGTAAAATAGGCCCGGCAGTCCCACCCTGGCCAGCGAGGGTCCATTAGGGGGAAACGCTTAGACGCAGTGCCGGCCAGGGGTGGTGACTGACATAACACGCTGGGTCAGGGCTCAGGCTTGGGCTCAATCTGGAGACACTGTCATAGTGCTGGGAGAAGGGAGCTGCAGAGAGACCCTGAGCTGTTGGGCTCTGTGTCCAGTCTCCCCCTGGCTCTGGCACCCTGGTGCCACAGGCTTCCCATCTCAGCCTCTGGTCCTATGCCTCACAGCCCCAGGGCAGCCATCCTGTCCCACCCCAGCCTCCACTGCATCCCTGTCGTGTACACAGGGGAGGGGGCTCTCCAGTCCTGGAGCAGACAGGACACCTGAGGAGCCAGCCCCCTGCAGCTCTCTCTCTCTCCCACGCCTGCACCTTTTGATTTCACATGTGTTCTGTTCGTACTGTAGGAAGGTGGTGCTCCAGAAGAAGCTTTTCCCTTTTCTTCCAACAAAGAGTTCTTCTAGTCTGACCAGAGGTGATTTCAGGAGCAGAGAGAACTCTGAAAGCCTAGGTCTTCCTAACTCTGGGATTGCAGGTCACTGTTTCATTTGCCCTGGAGCCTTGGTGGCACAGTGGTTAGGAGCTCGGCTGCTAACCAAAAGATTGGCAATTTCAATCCACCAGCCGCTCCTTAGGAACCCTATGGGGCAGTTCTACTCTGCCCTATAGGGTCGCTATGAGTCGGAATCGACTCTACGGCAACAGGCTTTTTTTTTTTAATTTCATTTGCCCACTCATTCATTCATTCATGTGCCAGTAGTCTCCTGGTCTCTGGGATGGCAGCGTGAGCGCGATGCTTTCGTCTAGAAAGGGGATCAGGTACTGTACAAGGGTGAGAGGAGCTCCTGTAAAATAGTGCGCCAAGAAAACGGCTCTGGGGGGGAACAGCGGGGGCTTCTGGGGGCTTCCGTTTTCTCATCTGAAGTGGAGACATTAACAATACTAGACTCTCTGTGAGTCTGTGAAGGCCTGATGCTCCTACTAGCATGTCCCTGGGCCTGCTGGGTGCTGTGGGTGTGAGATGTCTTTGCCCCCTCCCCCGAGGCAGGAAGCTGTCCCACAGGCCGTGCTCGAAGCCTCACCAGATGACCGCTGGTTCTGGCCTCGGGTAGTGGTAGAGGACACCAGAGCGACAGGAACATGGTGATATTCCCACAACCCCAGGAGCAGCTCGGGCTTGCGGGGGGCTTCACATGCTGTGCGGTCAGAGCCCAGCCCTGTGTGCCCTTTGACACCCTGGCGACCAGCCCGCATGTGTCCCTGTGTCTCTGTTATCCATGATGAAGAACGCAGCGCCACCGCTCATGACCTGGGTGACTTTGTGGGCCTCAGTTTCTACATCTGTAAAATAGGGAGTTATAGCACCTACTCCACAGGGTTGTCGTGAAGACATTTCAATGTGGGCTTTTGTTGTTTATCATAGATGAGGAAACTGAGGCTCAGAGAGGGCTGGGCCTTGTCCAGGGTCCCACCACGCGCCAGCAGCAGAGTGGGGGCTTGGGTGCACAGGCTCTGCCAGTGTGTGCTGGGTGCTGGTTGAAGGCCTGTGCTTCTGCTGAGGGTGGTGGGAGGTGAGCCGGAGGTAGGCCGTGCCCTCGAGGAATGGTGGGCTGGTGTTCCTGGCCCCTGGGTTCCCCCATGCGCAGGGTAGCACGTGCCAATACCTGGGGCCCATC